TATTTGCTCTGCTTCTGAATTTACAGCTCTCTCCCACGAACAACCTCTTCCTCATCCCATCGTCTCCATTAGGATTTCAGTAACCACCTTCCTTAAAGCCACTATCCTTTGGTCTGAGGCTCCAGAGGTTTCTCTTCTGCCTGATAACAGCTCAGAGATTTAAAACCCCTTCCTCCTCCCCACAAAAAAGAAAACAAAACTAACTCCCTCCCCCACCCCTTATCTCCTCCTGCCAGAGCCTCTGGAGCAGATCTGGTCAAACAGACTGGCCAGATCAGTTCCCCACATGGCTCTGTTTCTGGAAAGTGGATGTGCTGTCCATTGGACAGAGGAAGTGCCAAGCCTTGGCAGGTTCCCTACTTATTTGCAAGACATAAGCTGCTGGCGTGGTGTCAGATGTGCATGCAAGAAAGCTGGATGCCAGTTAAGACCTACAGTCCTGTTTGTTTCATGCACTGTGAACTTATTCTATATACACTATGGGCTGGTTTATGCTTGAAGACATGAATATAAAAGTATACATTTTGCTTTTACCTTAGTAACCAAAGATTTACTTTCAACCATGGAATAACAGGGGCTTGCTACCAGGGCTCTTATTTTCCTCTTTTGCTCTTTCTCTCATTCTCTTTTCAGTTCTTAATAGTCAAGGTGAAGTGGGGGATAGGAGGGGGACAGGTAAGGTTACAGTCCCAAGATCCTAGTTCCTAAAGGTCCCTGAGTGACAGCACTATACAGTATCAGAAAATGAAGCGATAGATTTGCGTTGGCCATGTATATCCTGAGAGAGATTTCATTTCTATTTCTCCTCTTCCTTCTCCTCCTCTACAGGCCTGCCTTAGGCTGTTATGCATGAGAAAGGTGCAAAACTTTCTTGCCCAGCCCAGAGCCCTCAGGCAATCTGGAATGCCCTTCATATTCGTGTTACAGTCTCTACTAAAAAACACAACCCAGCAAGCAGCAATCCTGCCCCAAGCTGCAAATATACCAAGCCCTGATCAGAATTGCCTCTTGCACCACTGCAGCAAAAGACAGAAGAAGCTCCACTTTGGAACAGTGAAAAAAAAATTCCTCCCCCTTTCCCCACTGCTCTCCGTTTGCGAATAAAAGGTGGACAGCAGTGAGCATACAGCCGCAGCATGGAAATCCCCTTCACCTTTCCAATAACACAAGCTTTGTACCACTGCATGAGAGGTTCATGCCTTTCCTTTCCTTGTGCTTGTGATGGCTTGAAACCTCTGAGCCTTGGGTGTGATTAAAATGCCTTTTTCTCCACTATCTTCTTTCTGGATCACTGGACTTCAAAATGAGACATGGGTTTGTTGCCTTTCTTAGAGCTGGATGCAGACAGCTACAGAGGGGGGAAAAGGAGGTGCCACCTTGGTTCTGGAGGAGGACATTTCTAAAGGCCTTCAGCATTCTTCCCTTACCCCTGTATGGGAACACATTTTCTATTACTCATTGGACTCACAGGACGCTCAGCTGTTCTCCAGCATTTTGCCCCATCACCAGAAATTATAAGGCAGTTCCTGAACTGTGTAAAGTCCTGACCGCACACTCTTTGGCAAAGATTATTGTGTAGGACCAAATAGTCCAGATGTCTGGATATACTATGACTGACTCTATGAAGTAAAACTGACCTGGTAATACCAGGTCAGAAACATTCAAAGAGAGAAACTAGGATGACTCCTGATAAGAAAGAGAATTCAGCCAACAGAGAACCGAGTCAATAGCGAAGGAGTTTGTCTCCCAGTCCCAGCAGGTGAAGAAATCAGCTGAGCAGTGCTTTTTCCCTGGAAAGCTTTTGGATTGTTGCTATGAAATTCTGGGCTTAATCTCTGGTTGAAGCCTCAAATATTAAACACACCCTTCCTGTGCCTGATGTCCAGGTGCCGGAGGCCCTGGTCTGTACCTGCATGTACAGCACCACACACTCTGTGTGGGGCTCAGCAGCTGAGCAGCAAAGAGCATAGGTGGGTTTTGCATCATCTGTGTGCTGCTGCCCTTGCTAGTCTTTGGGACCATCTGAGAGAGCTCTCAGGTGCCTAACTCCTACCACACATTTGTCAGGCCTTTACTACAACTATCAAACTACTGGAGTTAGTGAGTCATCTCCCTCAGCTTCATAATTCCCACCCCATAGACATTTGTTCTCCCTCCAATCTTAATAGGTTTCTTATAACTGCCTCTTTTTTTCCCTTCTATCATTTTGACCACCCTTTACATTGCAATGACATATATAAAGGGTAAGCGCTTAGATATTTTATTAAATCATCAATCAGCTGGTTAGAATCCCCTTAAAAACTGAACTTGTTGATAAGCAGCCTCCATCTGAGAACTGCAGTCATCTGACATGCATATATCCACCTACATTATACTGCTGATGTCATAAACCACAACTTTATGACTTCCATTAAAACATTTAAAAGCCATTTCCAAATAGATTCCCACTAGAAAGTGTAACTTTCTCAATTGGCCAAGCTTTAACCTCCTGCATATCCAGTAGACAAAACTATTCAATCCAGCCATAGCTGTATCATCTAGCTTCATTCACTCTTCAGACTTTTATTCCTGTGCAGACCATCTAGACCACAAACTGCAATAATATTGGGAAAACCCATTTTCAACAGCATTACTCTGGAATATGGAATCCAGAAAGAGACTGTTCTGCAGGGCAGCTGGGAATCTAAGTCTGATTCAATTGTGCTAAAACCCTGGTGAGTCCAGGAAGGCCTGGACCAAATGTGTGCATGCACGAACATAAGAGAGGGAGACAGCGGTTCGCGGTGATTGAGAAGGATGGATGTTCTACTTTTATGCTTAGGATTCTGTTAGTAGAAAATGCGTAAGACATATTACTGATATAAAAATAACACTACTTATTACTCTGATGAGCCCTGATCCTGCTTCATCCAAGTCAAGGCAAAACTTTCCATGACTTCAATGTTACTAGGTCAGGCCTACAATGATTCACATAGCACTGTACAGACACAAATTAGTGAATGAAAAGATGTGCATTAGATGCATCTGTCATCTGAAAAACAGGAGTTTCCCTGGTTTCAGAGGATCACTCTGCTTTCCCAAGTAATGGGAATCAAGGAAAAGGGAAGAGAATGCTAGCAGAAAAATAAAGGGATGGTTGGATTCAAGGCAGTGTGTGTGTGTGTCTGTGTGTCTGGCATGTAAAAACTTCCATCAGGTAAGAACAAAGTTCTCATCATTACTCCAGGAATGGCAGAATGACCCTAGGGTTAAAGTTTTGCACTTGTGAATTTATTATTTTCATGGCTTTTACTAATATTTTAAGGGAGATTATCAATCATCAGTGATTGCCAAAGTGGCCAACAATTCAGGAATTTTCCTGAAAGTCACTGGCTCCTTTGGAAAAAGTCGACCTTGCTGTCCAAGGCCAAGTTATCCTTCTTGTACCTTTATAATGAGTGCCTGTGGATGGAAGCTGCTACAGACTTAGGGCCTTCCACAAGCACTGACAAGACCAGCATTTCATTACGACCTTCACCCTGCTCAGTCCTTCAAGACCATCAGCTTCCAGCAGGATGATGATCCATGGAACTCTACTGCAACCTTAGTTACACCATCTGCAAGAAGGGACACAGGGTATGCTCTTCTCTGCACTTTGCATGTATTAACAGACATAAAGCAAGGCCTGATAGAAGCAGTAGAGCTCAGAGGGTGCCAGCCCACCATTTGCTTCTGATCATCTTAAGGAAAGGGGATAGTTATAATTTCTGGATTTTTTCGCCCTAAAGCACAACAAAGTCAAATGATATCCACCTTTTCCTGCACCTTGCTGTAGGCTATGGTCCCTCAGCGGGCTGGAGTGTAAAGTCCCTTATCTGGCACAAGGAACAGGTAGAGGGGGGGAAGGGTTGAGTTTTCAGAGTCCTGCAACTGCTTTTCTCCCCAAACTTGGTAAGAAAGATGGAGGGTGGGAACTAGTAGAAACAACCCCTCCTGTCAGAACTGCATCAGCTTAGTCTATTGGAGATCAGACGTCAGTGGTGAACAGCACCACTGTCCCACTGCTGATGCCCAAAGCCCTCTCTTTCCTCAACAAGTATGTACTTGCACAACCTACCTTCCCACCTCTGTCTCTCTAATACAAGCTGGGACTCCAACCTCCAACCTCACAAAGTTGCAATGAGCAAACAAAACCCTGCTATTCCCCCCAAAACACTGCCAGTTATATGTCATCTGTGTTCTCTTTCTACAAAAGACATTACAAAACCCCCCTCCCCAGCTCCCCTCCCCAGAAAACAAGCTTGCACACACACATTCGTATCTACATACATGCGCATGTACACGCACACATACACACAGAGATGCGCCGCACACACACATTCATACAGGAAAAACAGCTTGCAAACTCCTGAAGGTGGAAAAAGGCAAACGTGCCTTTGTTTTTGATAAGCTCCCTCCTCCCCCCCTCCCATAACCCCACATTGCCCTCCCTCACAAATAATTGCCTTCTCCTCCCCCCATTCCCAGCTCTTCCAAAATAAATATTCTTTTTATTCGTTGGTTTAAAAGATACTTTTAGGCTTGGAAGCAAGAGAGAGGAAGAGAGAAAAAGAAAAGAGAAATCTCATAGCATGAGAATGAAAACCCATGAAAGAATAGACATGAAGGGGTTAAGAGCAGTGACAGAAGAAAGACTAAAAAAAAAAATAATACTGAGAAGAGAAAGATGAAATTCAGTAGTGAAATGGAAGTGAAGATAGCGCATTAGTAAGCACAGCCAAAGATAACCTATCGACCCCACCAGTTTTTGACTCAATTTCTTTAAATCTCCCTCCCTCCCTTCTTTAAAACTTTTCTTGGTTTTGGGGTTTTTTTGTGTTTTTTTTTTCTTTTTTCTGTAATTTTTTTCTCTTTTTTCCTTTTTTTTTTTTGTTTTTGGTGTTTTTTGGTTTTTTTACAATGGTTGAAGTCCTTCAGCAGGAAAAAACAGCAGGAAACCAAAATCAAGACGAACACATCCCTCCCTGAAACCGAACCCCCTCCCATATACCCTCTTCTCCCTTACCCCACCCCCACACTCTGTGGTTCTACATGTGCTGAAAAGAGAAGAGTAAGCTTAGAATAAATCTAATGAATCAAAGGAATAAATGATAATGATATTAAAGAGTAAAACCCAAACCCAAAAGACCACAACACTCCTGTGTTGTCATTGTCTGAGTGTCTGTCCCTATCTCTCTTGGAGGCTGCAGGCATCAATTTACATAGTACAACCAGTAAACAAGGTTGAAGAATCCAAAGGTGATTGGAAAAATGATTCGTGACCACTTGTCAATGGTGCTGACGTCTGTCAGGTCTGGGATTTTGAGCTTCAGCTTAGATGACCGCCGGCGGAGGCGGCAGTTGGCACGGTTGCGGGCTGCGGCATGGTGGGTCAGCGGGACATGGCGGTCCAGGGTTGGGTGATGACCAAATCCGTCCCGAGAGGCCAGCTGCTTGCGGAACTGGATTCCTGAGCCTTCAAAGGACATGACAGAGTTTCGAGAGTCGCCCACACTGCTCATCATGTCCGTGGCCAGCAGCTCGTTGTTCATCTCCAGAGTGCTGAGGAGGATGTTACCATAAGGGTCAACCTAGAACAAGGAAGATAGAGAGAAAGGTAGCGGGGATGTCCTCTGCACAACACACACAGGGCCACACCATCAGGGATGATTTTGAACTGTTTACTGTGCAACAATACCACTGATAGGGTCATTTGTGAGCTCAGAACCTAGAAGTCTGCATTTGAAAATGTTGTCCACTGGTGCTGGAGTTGAAGGACTAGCCACACGTTCTTGCAGCAAACTTTTGATTGGGGTAGTGTGATTCTGCCAACACAGTAGGACCAAAAGCCACAGGGGTACTTTTGGGTGCACCCACCCTGTGCAAGAGGATGGTCCTGATGAGACTGGCTTGAGGATGATGACAAAATGATCGAGAAAAAATTCCCAGTAATCACTAGACAGGGGAACTGGAGTTCATCTCTTATGATAAGGAGAAAGGCTGCTCCATAGCTCACCCAGGACTGAATGAACAGCAGAGAGTCTGAATTCTCCTGCCACAATGAAAGAAGGGGACAAACCTGCTCTCTCACCCTCTTTTCCTCATAACGGTGGCGCTCATTGTTGGCCTTGCTGATCCGCTCACTCTGTTTCTTTTGCTGCCGGGGGCCTCGCCCGAAGAATATGTAGTTGACAAAAGCATATTCCAGAAGAGCCAGGAACACGAAGACGAAGCAGCCCATGAGATAAACATCAATAGCCTTGACGTAAGGGATCTTGGGGAGTGTCTCCCGCAGATGGGTGTTGATGGTAGTCATTGTGAGTACCGTGGTGACACCTGTAAGGAGAAGGTAGGTGGTCTGTTACGAAGGTGGAGCGTTTCCTGAAATGCCACTCTCAGCTTTCCCATCCCTCCTTCCAGCTGGACAACCTCAGGAGGGATGGGAGCAGTGCAAATAGGAAGAAAATTGTCATTATTCTAAGCCCAGCTGCCCAGTACAAATCACTGCAGAAAATAAACCAGCCACCAACAGTAGGAGGAAATGTCAAAGCTGAGTACCATTGGGACGATGGAGATCAACATCCTTCGGACCTTGGTTCTTTAAGTCCTCCCTGATCCTGCTTTCCCCCAGTGTGGTAGGAAACATTCAGTTTTGCTCTCCGTCTCTCAGCCTCTTCTCCTCCCTTTTCTCCACTTCATGAACTCATCAGGCTTCCCTGGACACTACTGAGTTCCTCAGTATCCTTGACATGAATTTATAATCTGTTGTGTCTTTCCAATGCCATGAATAGGAGAAAGAGTGAAGAGATTCTCCCTTCATGGTGCTCTCTTTTTTTTGCCTCTCATAGGCTTCTGTTTACATGCTCGACCCCATCAATTCCCACCTTCCTCTCACTTGCTTTACCACACACTACTTCAATTATCATCTGTACACACTCCTCCCATGGTTCTCACACTCCTTTTTAAGCCTCCTCACATTTTCTGCATCTTAAATAAACATTTCTTGGTCTCATTGAACACTTTTTTCCCCATCTACTTGGTCTCCAAGAGCCTGATGCACTATGATTACTCTCACAGTTTCAGTCCTTTTCTTGGGTCTCTTCTCAGCCTCTTCCCTTCTCTGGATTGTCAGAGTAGCCTCATATCTATCTCTTTGACAGTTTTCTGTCAGCTTCAGAAAGACAGCAATGAGCTTTCATGCTTCTTTTGGGGGCAGTAACATTTCCTTTTCAACTTAGTCTTCCGACTTCTCTAGCTCAGCTGTCCTGCTTCCCTTATTACCTTGCTGATCTCCTTTTCTTCTAATATCCCTCCTTCTCATCTCTCTGTTGGCAGCTCTCTTAGTCTCCATGACATTAATTTGCTCTTCTGCTTTGAGCCCTGCCTCTACAGTGATGGCTTTCAAACCTCTCTGTGCATCTTAGACCTCTGCTTGTCCTGTTTCCGCTTCACCCTCACCATGTCTTTAGTGTCATTTCTAATAAAAGATTTAAAGAACTAATAGTCTTCAGTTCACAGAAGAGTAAACAAAAGGGAGATGTATTTATATACATACAATATATTATATTGTCTATATTTAGACAGTAGTCTAAATATCCAGAAATCTGGGGCAAAGAAAGGGGGAATAGAATGTTCTCCACATCTCCATTAAGAACTGGACAAATTGCAATGGAGATTTAGGACAGAGGCAAAGAAGATCTTTTTGACTGTACAAGCAGGTAAATCTGGAGATAAAGTGCCCACAGGAAGCTGTGGAATCTCCTTCTTTGGAGCTTTTTAAGGACAAGTTAGATAGAGAGCTGTCAGGAATAGTTTAGGGAGAGCTGTTTCAGTTCTGATCTACAATGTTTTTCTTCTGTCTTCTTTGAATCCAGATGTCAGCAGAAATTCAACAGCTGTGCATCTCATGTCCACCCTTCTGCTTGTACTTTCACTGTGCCAGCAATGTCTACCATGGTCTCTTTTTCTTCTCTCACTGATTATACTCTTGTCAATGCAACTTACCTTTTTAATTTACCATATTCTTCTTGTTCCCTTCCTGTCTCCCTGTTCGAGCCTCTCCAAGCAATCACAGCCAAATCATCTATTTTATATCTTTGTACAAACTGTCCCTCTTCTGTGTCTTCTCAAACTCTGTCTTCTCCTAGAGCTAATTTAAGCCCCCAACCTTTTCTACAAGGCCCAGCCTCTACCTGTTCCTCTGTTGCCTCTCTGAACCTTTTCCCACTCACAGATGAAATCCTTCTCCCTCCCTGGCTCTCCTATTTCCTCTGAACTTTCCATCATGTTGCACCGCCCCATTCTCATATGCCAGCCATCCTCCCTTTCTCCTGTTCCTTCTTCAAAATACTCATCTGCAATCCACCCCCACTTCCCTTCTGTTGCTTCAAAGACCTCATTTTTTTCCTCTTACAGGAAAACATTCCTATTTAGGGGAGCATGTGCTTAAGAAGAACTTGAACTTTAACTACTGTCCCATATTTGCCTTGGTTAAGGTCTTCAGCTACAAAAAGTGTTGGGGCCTCATCATGAAACTGTGTAATGCCACTTCCTTTATTTTTTTCATCTTTTAGCCATTCACTCACCATTCTTACTACTCTTTGGCAACCCATCCTTAGCATTTATAAGCCAACTAACTGGTCCTGGCACACCTGTTGACCAGATTTCTCTTTTTAAGAAAATAAGTATAAACCAGAGTGAAGGAACTGGTGGGCTCATGGTGTATCAGAGTCTTACACATCTGAGAAGCTGTGAGTATTTATGCTTTTGTTATAGAGTTTAACCTTGCACCCACAGAAATTTGTGGTAGAACTTTTACTGATTCAAATAACACAGACTCAAGCTTGGGAAGTAGTGACACTTCTGAGCAAAAAAAGTAGCTCTTGTGGCTGAAAATTTTAAGTTTGTTCTCAGAAAACATGTCCTTCATTTGATGACAAGTTTGACAGACCTACATGGCTTGTTTAGCTGCTACCTCATAAAGAAAAAGATATTTTCTTTCTTAGAGCTGTCCTAGTTGAACTCCCTCAAAAAAACACTTCTTCAACATATAATGGAAAGGTACATACCCAGTGCCACTCGTGCAGCAGAAGCATCGTAATTGATCCAGAAGGAGACCCAGGACAGGATGGTGATGAGAATAGATGGCATGTAAGTCTGCAGGATGAAGTAACCAATGTTCCTCTTAATCCGGAAACTCAAGGATAAGCGCAGATATGAACCTGTCAATGATAATTAAAAGGAGATGTAGTTTGAGAGGAGGGTAAGGCTGTATTTACAGTAAGAGCTTAGGTTAGGAATTGAAATTTTGTTTGGAAAATGTTCTCAAGAGGCAGGGATAATGAGAAAGCTCTCTTTTTTTCTTCATTTAGTTTTGCAGACTCACCAATTTTTAGAAGAGGGTTGTTCAGAGTCTGCTCAGTTGGCTCAGAATATTAAGAAGAAAGGAACTCTACATAAGTTATGTTATTATATCAGACATCATGGGAGAACGTCTGTTCGGTGCTGAAATTGCTATTATGGTATGTGCCAATTTGATACAGGCTTACACAGGAGACTTTAACCCTATATATGGATGCAGCGAGATGGTTTTCCAATGTTTCGTGTGCTAGCTTTTCCTCCAAGCAGCAATGAAGATCTGAATTGTATTTTTCCTGTGCTGTTCTAAAAATGGGTTATGATCAGACTGGGCATTCGTATGCAAATAGAGCACTGTTAGTTAATCTCTAGGTCTTCTTTTTTCCCAAGTTGTGGCAACTTCCTCCTAATCTTTTAGCAAAGCTAATGGGGATAGTGACCACAATAAGTACTTTTACAGTCCTTCCACTGGAGCAGGGTCATTTTGACAGGGACAAAGCAGGGCTTCTGTCACTGCAGTGAAACAAAGTCCAAGTCATTCCTTCTTCCCACCTCTGTCCCTTAGGCAACAAAGCAGCCTGAAACATGGGTGTAATCGTGGGTTGGCAGCTAAAGTAACAAGAGAACAACAGTCTTTAATGATCAAGAAGGTAGACTGGGAAAAAGGAGGTTATGTTCTCTCACAGTTATGTGCCATTTGTATAGCTTGAACACAGCATTTCACATTTTTTTTAAAGTCTTACCTATTTAGACTGCAAACTTCTTTCAGAGGAATACTGCCTCTTGTTGTGGGTCTCTAGATTACCATTGCAATGGGACTCTGCTCCCAGCATGCCCCCAAGGCACTACTGTAACAACATCACCATCTGCCACCACCACTGATAGACTCAGGCTGTGATTTCATGGCATTTCAAAAATTTTCCTATTTAACAGGTGTATGGCACGCTGTTTTGGCAGTAAACTCCATGCCATATCAAAGTGAAGACAGCAACCAAAATCCAAACCCCTCCAACTTTCCAACTGGCAGTATCTGAATCGTCCAAGGTATTCTCTCCAGATCTTTTTATTGCTGTGTGCAGGTGGGTTTACATCATTTCAGAGACCACTTGCTTTTCAACTGATATATTATTCTGCTTACTATTGCATTGACATTAGCTTCAAGAGCCAGTTGCAAACCACATAAAAATAAAGTAAAGGCTGAGAACCTTCTGAAGAAGTTCTGTTTTGATCTCAGTTGGTGTTTTGACTTAGAAATGAAAATAATTGCAGCAAAAAAATGATCTCATAAGTCTCTGAAGAGAAGCAGACAAAAAAATTAAACAAACTTGGCGGGCACAGAAGACATCTCTTTTCCAAAGGAACAGGACCCTAAGCTGAAGCCTAGGTCCTAAACCAGTACCTCAGCATCTGAATCAGAGGAACAACCACATTGATGTTGATCAGCAGAAGGTTTGCACATTCCATCACATCCCTTCAGCAGAGACTCACCAGTGGTGAAGACCACCTCCCTGCTGACCAGCCTCTGCTCGATAATGGTGAACTGGGGCAGTTCTAGCACCTCCATCCCTGTGACAGCAGAATCATTTCCTTGCCAGAAGAACACAATGTCATCAACTGTGTAACCATCTGCAGAGATGAAGAAGCACAGAGAAAGAACTAAGCTGACAAGCTGGAGTAGATGACACCCCCATTTTAACTAAGGTGATCTGCAAGAGGATCCAAAGGAAAGCCTACACCATCACATAGCAAGCATAGCCCCTCCCTGCTGAGGTACTTTCTTCTTCAGCTGAGTATGGCAGTACAGTCCCCAGGAGAAGAGGAAAAAATTGGTCAGAATTCCCACTTCTGGCTAGAATTCAGGAGAAAAAGGTGAGAAGTGGCCCACCAAGCCTTGCCTTGTGCTACAGAATCTCCATGGCTGACACGACAGGGACTTGTGCATCAGAAGCCTCTGTCAAATGCACCAAATACGGAATTTTGCTTATTAAAAACTGCCTCCTTTTACCAGAAGGGGGAGACCACACAATACATTCTAGTGGGAACTTGGTAAACAGAGCATCTAAGCATTAAAATTCCCAGAGAGAAAAAAATTTACAACAGCAGTTGAAAAGAAATTTGAACATCAGAGCATCCCCCTTGTCTAAGTACTCTCAGTCAAAATTTGAAGCTGGGAAATGGTCAGAGTCTCTGAGATCAGGGGCTGTTTTTACCAAGTGCTGGCTGAAAAGAGCAGTAATGGGAGAAAAGAGGAAGAGAAGTCAGGCTGGTAACAAATACCCATCCCTTATGTTTCAGCATAATGGATTTATTAACTCAGCCAAGGGTACAGACTCTTACTTTAACCCCAAGCTATACATGCCAGACAGGACTGCATGGGCTGGAAGTGCTGAGCAGCCCAAAGCCACAGTTCCAGGAGAAAGACTCCCCAGATACTCTGGACTCATGGGGAATGAGGCCCAGGGGACAAAATCATGCACCTCCCTCCCATCAGAGTGATGTTCACAGCCCTGCCCTTTGCCCTTGTGGGCAAGGATTCGTCTCCACTCGAAAAGTAATGCTGCTTGTGGCAGGCTGGGTTTTGAAGCACTGTGGCTGTTGCTGCAAAAGGGGTAGCCTGTTATTCTAAGCAAAGTGCAGAGCTGCATGGGAGCCCTGCTGTGTGCAAAGAAGCGGTAAGATATGTACAGGCTTTCATAAGGCACGGTGCAAGGCTTCCTTCTTCACCTATGCCCACAGACAGCTTTTATTCACAACCTGCACTGCAGCACAACAGCCTGCCTTATCCACAAGCCCTCGCAGCAGAGAGGCAGTTGGCTAGCAATATCCAGCAAGGTTAACATCCACTAAGGAGAGCTGCCACCAAAACCAGCACCAATGTATTAGTGGGATCAGGGGAATGAAGAGCTGTTGAATGTACCATGGAGGAGAAATTCTTCTACCCAGCCTTAGGGGCCAAGGGTTACCCCAGATCAGAGACACCTTTGAGAATGGTGTCATCCTGCAGCTCCTGAATGCACAATTCACTGGGCAACTTGGTCTGATCTCATAGCTGACCCTGCTTTGAGCTGTGGGATGGACTAGAGACACCCTGAGGTCTCTTCCCAAACTGAATCATTTGATGACTGTGTAGTTTCCAAGCCCACATCCTGCGCTCTCAGTCATTACTGCGCTTATTCATGGGTGCTAAAAAATAATAACAATCTTCCAAATGCCATTCCAGATCTGCTTCTGATTTAAATCAGCTAAGCCAGGGCTCCACCTCCTCACCCCATGGCATGCTTCTGCTCCCATGGCAGCAAGTGGTAAAGCACCCACACCCACGAGCCTGAGATTCAGGACCCTTAGGTTATCATCTCACCTGCTGCAGACATTGGGGTGTCACAGCCCGTTGCACCCCAGCTTTGTGCACAGGTGTTTGAGTCTGGCTGCAGCGTCTCTCACAGAGCACTGAGATCAAGTGTGGAAAGCAGCAAGAAACAGCCAAGAGCCAAGTCCCCCACTCCTCCCCCAGTGCTTGATTCCAGCGGCTCAAACGCTTTCTCAGATAAAAACATTGTGTGCGATTTTACATTTGATTTCATCTGGCTCACATTCTGGCTGTTGTTCTGAATTTTTCCAGGATGTTACCAAGCCCTTTCTACCAAGCGCTGCCCCTCTGCAGAGGTGCATCCAGCCTGTAAACAAGTCACCTCTCTACCTCCTTTGCAGTAAACAAACCAGACTGAGCTATTGAGGCGTCTCACTGCAAAACATCTGCTCTAGCACTTGAACCACTTTTTAGCATCTTTTCTCAACATCTTCTGATTTCTCAACTTCCTTTCTAAGTTTTGGAAACCAAACATAGACAGAGTCCTTTTCCCCATCTTGCCTGCGACATATTCAGAGGCCAGTTGATTCCCTGCTCTGACTCACGGCTCCCCTGGTTTATATAACCAAGGCTCACTCCAGCCCTTTTTGTCAGAGCCCTGCTATGAAACCTCCAGCACTGGTGCTCAGGGCTGTCATCCCTTCATCATTTCCCCTGTCGATACCTGTGTGGGTATGAGTGCCCCTGTCTGGCAGTCTGGCCTGCGTTCCTGCACCCAGGCACAGACCTCCGCATTTAGCTGTAATCCAATGCATTCTGGATGCATTCAAATTGGGAGATATTCAAATGTGCAGCGAGCAAGCCACGCAGACTATCTTCATCATCCACAAATTTAACAGCAGTGACTTCAAATTTACTTCCTGATCAGCAATGAAAATGTCAAATTACAGTAACTAATTTTAGGAGATCTCACAGTTAACTAGCTCTATTCCATTTATTCTATGACCTGTCAGTATTGGGTACTAATTTTTATGGGTTTTTAAATTTTGTTATGGCTTTATGCAATATGAAATCAAACATGTTTTTTTCAGGAAGCCATTTTTTAAAGTGATTCTAAAGAGGAAAGTTGTTCAGTTTAAAAATAAATGTTTCACTTTGATTTCTAGCTTTAAAGAGAAAACCAAATTTCCATTTTACTTTTAAAAAGTAAAAGAATTTTCACAAAGACAAGTCATTTCAACCTGAAATATCATATTGATACGATGTCTTAAAACTTTGGATTAACAGCCTGTTTGCTGCCTACCTCATCAGGTTTTTGTTGAATCCTGACACATAGCTAGGCAGAGGTATAAGTGGTGAGAGCTGTTTTGGGGATGGAGGAATGTGACCAACAGACAGTGCCAGCATTGCCTTAACTCCTGCAGGCAGGTGCCCCAAGCTGCTGTGGGGAAGGAGATCCCAGCTGCCTCCTGCTGCTTTACGAAGCCAGCATCCCTGCACCACAAGAGGGTATTAAGGTCGTTTGTTTTGTTGGGTTTTTTAATATACTTTTTTTTAAGCCAGCCATAAAAGGACTGTTATTCCAGTGTCATGTGGACCTGGAAGCAAACAAAATGGAGTCCCGCAGACTTTGAATGCGCGAGTGTGTAAAAGACAAAAGCTCTGAGGAGGGAAACAACTGACTCTCCATCTCTGCATGGATCTTAGAAATATTGTAAGGAAACTTAGCTTAGACTAACAAATCAGCTTGACATGTCCCATTAAGAACAAAATCGCAACATGGGGAACTGTGGGTAATTCTCTCCCTTCTGTTTTCTTGGTTGTACTGTAAACTATTCTCAAAATGCTAAGGAGTGCCAGAAATGACATGCCATTAGTGCCTTTACATCCCATTACCCGCCACCCCAAGCACTTCGATAGCTGCGCACCCTAAACAACCCGAGTGGTGAGTGGGAAGGGGGCTCCCAGATGCAGGCAGGGCTGGTAAGGTGGCATGGCAGCTTCCCACTATGGATGCTGTCAGTCCTCTTTTATGAAAAAAGCATTTCTCTGATAATTACCACTGAAGATGCATGATCATCACTGTGAGATCTGCTGCTCTGGATCACTCCTGTGGGGATACTACAGTGCATTTTTATGAGGGAGAGCCAGACCTCCTCCGCCAGTGCGGATAAGAGAGGCTTTCCATAGGGGTCAAGGTAAGATCCAGGTGAGGAAGGACTGTGGGAGGGCTCAAGTCCCACCTCCTGCGCTGAGCAGGGGGCAGCCATGACTGAGGGCAGGCTCCCAGGGCTTTCTTAGGGCTAAGGGAGCCTTCCACTACTCTCCTGAGGGTAAGAGTGATTTTAATGCCCAGTTTTCTGCTAGAGGCCCATTTCCCTGGGCATTTCATCCATGAAGTCCCCTCAGGATGGAGTTTGGATGAGGGAGCCTGGTCCTGCACCAGGAGACATCCTCCAGGAGGGTGGCCTGTAACACCCCTGGGAGGCACCCCATGAGCAGGAAGCTGGGGCTGGGGCAGGCGGCATCGGGTGGCACTGCAAGGCGGAGGGTGGGCTCGAGGCATACGCACAGCTCTCAATCTCCAGCGTGCAGTTCTGCTGGTCCAGCGGGTACCTCCGCAGGTCCATCATGCAAGCAGCTGTGGTGGTGATCCTGAAAGCGGAAGGGAGAAAAAAAAAAAAATCAGTTGTGTGTATTTTCTTACAAAAAAAAAAGGAGAAATGAAAGGCAGACGTGAAAGTCAGGCAGCATTTGGGGCCGCTGTTTCCCTGGAAACCAGGGAGATCCATGGTGCGAGGTGTGCAGGGCGGGGGGGCTGGATGCAGCTCACCCTCAACTGCATGGCTTAAACCCTTCGTGACTCACGTCAGGAAGGCAGTATCTCTATTAACAGGGTGTGGAGGGATTTATGTTCCTCCTCTATCTCTCCCTTGAGAGAGACAAAGAAACTAGGAGTAGGCAGAGCTATGGGCACGGGGAGGGGGTGGTGGAGGAGAAGCATGTCAGTTTGTAAGAGGGAGACAGATGACATGTGTCCATAAAACGGAAGTTGTATTGATTAAATTGCCCAGCAATGACCTATGGATAAGAATAGCTGACCACATTATCACCCCCTTTTCCTCCCAAGTTGCCCCAATGACCCTGCTTGCAGCCCCCACCCACACATGCCCCCTCCATTGCACCCACTTTAGCACCGCCAAATCCAAAAGCCAAGACCCCAGAACCCTTCCACTCCTGTGGGCAACAGAGTCTCTCCTGCACAATGATTGCATGGCCAAGATTCATGAAAGACACATGGGGGGTTGTGTGCATCCCCCTGAAAAACAAATATAGGGAGAGAATGAGGCTCATTGTTGCTTTGGGTGTGTCAGAGCACAGGGTGAGGGCAGAGTGGCACAATGCCCATGATGAGGTTCACATGAGGGTGCAAGGAGGGTCTGTGTGTGTTACTTGTTGTACATGAAGGAGCATCACTCTCTGGGATGGGGAATTTTGGGGCGGGATAAATGAGGGAAGAGGGCATGAAGCAGGGACAGAGCAAATCAACAGCTAACTCACCAGCCTGACAATGCTACCCTGGAGTTAACAGGCTGCCCCTATTTCTCAAATATATTGCTCCCCTCACCCTTTAATGCAGTTCTCTTCCTGTGTGATGTATGTGTGCAGTGTGCTGAAGAAGGGGGCGAGATTGGTGCATTCCCCCCCTCTTTTTTTCAATTAACCATCTGGAAGGCATTAATCAAGCTACACATTTCTTACTATGTAGGCATAACCAGTGAACTGTTAACGAGAAAGCTTTATCTTCTGAGCCCTGTGGCCTGGGAGAGAGAAAAGAGAGGAAAAAAAGAAAAACAAGAAAGCACAGAGGGATGAGATGGCAAACCAGCAAAAAAGAAGGGGAAAACAGAAAAAACATCAATGACAGAAAAAGAGACCAGAAAGGGGGAGACAATGGGTGAAGCTGGATGGAAAATTGGAAAGTGGGGGAGAAGGTGGGTCGGCAAGCACCCACAGGAGACGGCTGCCCCAGTGGGGGTATCGGGGTGGGGGCTGTAGCAGGGCAGGCGAGCAGCCCCGCAGAGCTGCTGGCTCTTTAAGAAATCTCGTGTGCTAAATTTATCTCTCCGCTGTCTGTGAAGACTGTTTGTAGGAGATGAAGCCTTGAGGAGAGCCTTTGCCACTGCCTGCCGTGCTATAAATAGATCCGAAGAGACGGAGGGAATTTATATATATCCTCACTGGGTCTAGATACAACATTGCAACTGCCCTCTCTCTGCGCAGGGGGCCCAAGTGAGCTCTTAACCCTTTTATCTGTAATGCAGCTGGGGGGGAGGAGAAAGCTCAGAGGGGGAGAAGGATAACAGGACAGGAGCCACTTGAAAATTATCACCATGGCTTTGGGATTGCATGTACTGCTTTTACAGTCTCCCAGTTTGGCATCTCTAGGAGGGCTGCTGGAAACGCAATGCCTCTCCCACCCTAACCCTCCTGGACCAGAGTAGCTGGGCACAGGGGTCCACGGTGGAGCAGCAGATCTGAAGCACACCTTGGGGGAGCTGCACCTTGCCAGGAAAGCCTAAAGTGGCAGGTGCAAAGTCCATCCTGGCCAGGCACTGAAACCAGAGTCATGCATGGGTATGAGTCATCCCTTCTACGCCGCACACAGCATACACTGTATATATTATATTGCACCCGTGGGAAATAGCAGTTACAAATGCATTTTCCTGTTTTCCCTAAAGTGTGAGATGCAAAAATGTATTAAATGAAGATTTTCCACCCCATTTGTGGGACCCTGTGGGCTAAAACCTTTCCACAGTGTCCATCCCAAAATTGGAGCCTGGCTGGCTAACTTGGCCACACAAAAGACATCCAGGGGAAGCCTTTTCTGGTTCAAGAGGGACCCTCACGCATTTCGACAAGATTTGCTTATCACCTGCAGTGCTGGTTGGAAATGCAGAGCACGACACAGTGAGCTACGGCTACCACACTCCATGCGCCAAATCCTGCTCACACTAACAGCCAGCATAAATCCAGAGCCACTCCAATGATTTTTGCAAGATTGCATCAATTTATATCAGTAGAGGTTTACATCAGGGCAGAATTTAGCCCTGTTGATTCAAAAAGAAGAGAACCTCAGGACAGGCAGGACAGAAAGGAGAAAAACAAGATTAAGAGGGCATCTGTCCTCAAAAGACAGGTGATTTCTCTTTCCTTCCAATGAAAGGGCAGGTGTATCCACACTGTATAGTTCAGCATCCTCTAGATACCCCAGTTGGCTGCAGGTCCCAAACTCCTGGTGATCTGCCCTTGTAACACTGCTCGGGCAAGTAAGAATAGGGACCATGTAGGATGAAGGTTTTGTTCTGTTTTCAGAACAGAGGTAGCACTGCCACATGCAGCTGTCCTGGGCTGTAGCCACCTGCAGTCTGGAGCATTTCAGCTGCAGTGCCGTACCCACGGTGGGGTGCACCTGGCAAGCCCTGGGACACCAGCACCAGAGGATCCCCTGAATGTGGGGCTCCTGCAGTATGACAAGATGTGAGAGGCGGCTAGCCTGGGGCACCAGGTTCAGCTCAGGTCCTGCCTCTGTTTTCCTAAACCCTGATAAACTAGCCCTACTTGGGGTAAAGCAAGTGGTATCCCAGAGAGGAAGGGAGTGTTTAATTCTTTAGACCTCAGATCTCAAAAAGCGTCCTGGACACCAATTTCCCTTTGCCATACCCAGCTTGAAGTCCATGGGTGACCCACAGCATCACAGCCCTGTCACAGCTACACGCAGCACCTGCCACTGTTGCTGAAATATCCACCTGTGACCTCTGTGACTGACTCTACATTCTCTTGCTCCTAGAGAGGCCAACAAGAGATTTCTCTAGCACCTTTGGTAGCTGTGTACTATGGGTAGTTGGGACTCATAAAGAGCTCCACTCACTTCTCGCAGCCAAAGGGGAATGGGAGTAAAACTCAGGCACCCCAGCAACCTTGTGTGGTCACTGCACATGCCGTCTCTGGTCCAGAAGGCTACAGGACCAACCTGTGCCTCATGGTTTGATGGGTGTAAACATATTACCTTGGTAGGCTCTGAGCTGTTACATGAAGAGATGTTTGCTTAGCACACAGAAGACAGCATGGGGAGGACTGGATGGGAGAGATAGATGGAGGGGATTGACACCAAGGAGGTCCTGGGTGTCTCCACAGGGTTAATAGGCAATAAAGGTGGAAAGAAAGTAAGAGGTGGAAAAATGAGGAGAGAATCAAAGAGTGATGACGACATAAACACTGACAGGGGAGACAGGAGTGGAGATGAGAGACAGGAGAGCAGATAGTGTAGGACAGGAGGCCACCAGGGTAACGGAACAGAGCAGAGGGATCAGGCGAAGCAAGGGGTAAGTTAGCCTGGGGAAGGGAAGCTGGAGAAGAACAAGAGGTTAAAAGACAGAAAGCAGATGAGGAGTGGATACTCACTCTGTGAGAAAGGAGATGAGGAGACAGAGAACAAACCATCGCCCTGTAAACAGCTCTAGACGGAGCGCACTGCCTCCAGGAGACACTACCGAAGTGAAAGGGAGCAGGGAGCGCGGGGGCCGGAGGGAATGCCGGGGAAGGATGCCACCTTCCCCGTGGCGTTAGCAAGAGGCACTGGCACTCAGCCAGGCTTCGTCTTCTCCCTCACCCTCCTCCTCTCCTGCTTCTCTATCCACCTCCCTCCCCTTTTAAATTCAAAAATTTGTGTGGTGTGAAATTTCATCTGCTTTGATGGCAATTCATAGAGACACTGCCCATCGGAGGGGAGAGGCTCGCCTGTGCTTTGCACAATGCGCTCAATGAAGCGGTCCCACTCCCTCCAGCTGCCGAGCCTGGCCACCACCACCACCCTCCATCTCCAGCTCCCCTTTCCTCCCTCAATCTCTGCCCACCCTGTGGGCCTCTGGGTCAGCCTATCACGTGTCACAACCCTTCCCTTTACACCTCCTTCCCCACAAAAAAGACATTCATGCCTTTGGTCTAATCGTTTCTCCCGAGGTCTGTAGGCAGCCGTGCTATCAAGCAGCCAGGTCCTCACTGCCCTGCTACTCTGCTGCACAGCTGGCAGGTGGACACAGTTCATCTCAGGGGAGACAGGGCTGTGGAGAAACTACTGTACATTCCAAAAAAAAGAGGAGAAAAGGGACATGCATTCATGAGATGTTGAGCTGTTCTGCCAGGCTGTGAACTGATGGAGATCCCCCTTCTCTGCCAGCACCCAGTGGATCCAAGCAGAAGCCAAAATAGCGTGGATACCTTACTCTGGAAAGCATCCTTCAACCCCCGGAGAGGTAGAGACCATCTCTAGAAAAGCAGCCACAAAGTTCTAAGCCACCCAGCGTGAGTGCTAGGTCTCTGTTACAATGAGGAAAGCTCTGCCCACCTGAAGCTTCTATTGACAAAGCAGATGCTGGCACAGAAAGGGTAGTGCCGCCTCACCCTGCTGTCCCTCTGCCACTGCCTGCTCTGCAAGCTGAGCCTGGCAGCAGCAGAGGAATATCCCACCATAGCTGCAGCTCAAAAGGGAATGCTCAAGTTTCTGCAAACCATCAGTCCTCCACAAATATTTCAGTTCTCTGACATGAACACCACCAGCCATTTCATTCCCTCTCTGATCCTCCTCATCACTG